TATATATATATATATATATATATACAGTACCGTACCGAGAGAATGTCAAAACTTCAGTACGATACGATATTTCAATCCTTGGTTACGACCAAGACGTGAAGCCTTATATGATTTTTGTTAGAGCAGGAGTATCCTCATAAGTTGTTGGCCATCAACCTTGATTGACGTTATTGTCGGGACACCAATGGATTGTTGACCCCCTTCGGTTTCGATGTCACCATCCAATGGCTAACCAATCCCTAGTTGGAACGATCAATGTTCTTCTCCTAGTGAGACTCTAAAGGAGGTCTAACCCTAATTCCTTCCTTCTAGTATATGTTGCCCGTCTTCTAGGCTGATTAAGTAAATTAGGGTGTTTGTCCATTGACCCATCAAACGTTGGCCAAGCTAGTTAAACTTCCACATAATCTGCAATTATAGTTCATGGAGGCATTAGGGTTGCTAATATGGTGTCACGAAGTCCTTCCTTCACTGCCCAAGCCTAGAATGCGATCCATAGAGCTGGAGGGTGGCTGGGCCCATGGCCTGGCCACCCATGGCTTCCCCTTGGCAGATCACATAGTGGCTAGTGTAAAGCTTTTTGGCAATGTCGACAACAATCTAACAATTGAAGATGAGTGCATTATATCACCTAGATTTTGCATCATAGCAGAGTTGTTTTCTTCAATACAATCAGACAATGCACTTACCTGAGATCGAGAATGAATTTGGATTATCTGAAAAATTGTGTTGATTGTGAACATCACCTTGCATCAGTTTTACATTCATTCATATTATTGGAAAAAAGTAATTTCATTGTTCATGAATATTTTTCATTTGTTAGTTCTTGTAAAAGCACTACATATTATAGTATGTAAGACCTCCTAATAGCTTTAATTTGCCTCTTACAATCAAATGTTGCTATCATCAGTGCTATAACTTACATGTTTATAATAATATGCAGGAAACTCTTCCTCGACTGAAGTCAATGACATGGATCATGCAGAACCGTAACTCGGCACCTGCAAACCGAGTAGCTGTCATCACTTTAAAGGTACTGACCCAGATTTTTTGTGCATGAAGTGTATATGCATAATTGATAATAATCTAACAGTATATATTGAAGTTCTCTTCTGGTTACAATCTAGTACTTGGCTCCATAATGCTAGGAATAATTTAAGTGAAGATTTGTGGAGTTGCATTTTCTTAGTAATTTGAAAAAAAAAAACTTGTTTTCTTTAAACAGTTTAGGTGCAAATACATTAACTGTTTCCGTGGCTGTTTTGATCTACTAAATTTCCATAAGAACATAAAATCCACAGCTACATGCTTGCATTACATTTAGCTTTCTGTAATTATTTTGTCAGACATTTTGCTCTTTACATTATAATAATTGTTTGGAACTAAATAAGAATTATGATAAGGAGAATTATCAAGTAATGGCTTCGACAACAACCGCAGTGGACAACAACAACAATAATGACAAGCTGTAATCTCCCAACAAAACAATGGCTTTGATCCTGATTACAACAATATCTGGCAAAAATTTCTCTGTTTGGTATTTTCTAGGCTCCTTGTAAGTTCCATCCATGTATTGCTAAAATGCACAGCAGCAGTTTTTAGTGCACAAATTTAGGCTCAGTTCTGTTTGTTATTCCTATAAATTTCTGTGATCTTTTGGTCAATTACCTGCTTTATATGTATTAAATCACTGCCTGCTAGCTTTTGCTAATTAATTGTATGGATCAGGGCACATAGTCATTTTTTTCTATTCAATTTATGACATCTAGTTGCATATGTATTCAGCTGCAAGATTATACAAATTCTACTTCTGGAGAATTAGAAGTTAAATTTCAGCTTTCCAAAGACACATTGGAAGCCATGTTGAGGACAATGACCTACATCAGTGAACAGTTATCAAGCTCTGTAAGACTGTTAACTCATTTCTGCTGAATTTACAATATGTTGTGTTTCTTTAGTTCCATGTTGATTTTGTATTATCTGGTTATGCTGGAAATACTTTATGATATACAATACTACCTCTGTTAGCAGCACATGTAAAATCAAGCTTATAAAACTAAGTGTAAAAAAAAATTTGAGGAAACTTTTGGGAACTATAGTGTTAATTGTAATGAGAGGTTGATGGTGATCAAATTAGGTTATGACCTGGAATTCTTGCCATCTCTGTGTGTGTGTGTTAACTTGGACATGTTGGCAATATTTCATCTAGATTTAACATATTTAAGGCGTCAATATACATTTACAACCTTACACTAAAAAATGATTGACATTATAATACCTAGAACTTTTTGTCATGTGGAGAATATCGTGATTCATATGCTCCAAGTTATACGTCATAATGATATAGGATTTTTTTTTTTTATCTTTCTAATACTTTGTTGGTTTGGTTTCTTTACAAATGTAATAATTTACCACTAGATAATATCTTATGTATTTCTATATCACCAACCAATTATCTAAGAAGAAGAAAGGAATCTATAAGTTAACAATAAAAAAAGATTGAGAATTGAATCTAAGAAAAGGAAAAGTCAAGTTAAAAAATGAAAGATGATTGAGGAATGTTATAGCATCAATCATGCTCTAAGATAGTAAAACAACGAATCACTAAAAGGTAACTAAATTTATAAAATCAGAGTCAAAATAGAGTGGTTAAGTGAACCGTTCTACAAAGAACTTATGCATGTGTCGGAAGAAATTACTCATTACAGAAAAGAAAGTGGATGTGTGGTCATAAAGCCTAAACAAACATGGTTACTTCCCTCCAATAACTCATCATGTCATTGTCATGATTATACCAGTGTAGTCAAAGGTGCTAGGCGGTAAAAGGTGTCAAGATGCCCAATGCCCGAGGCTTTAGGTGCTCAGGCATATTATTTTAATATGCCCAAACTAAACAAGGCACTCATAAATATTAATATTTTAATATTAAAACAAGGCACTTGAGCATATTAAAATTTTAATACTCCGAATGAAACGAGGTACTCGCGAATATTAAAATTTTAAAAATATAAATAATTGATAAATATAATCACTAAAATAAAAATAACATCAAATTGTATTCATTTAAAGTACCAAATTATATTGTGCAAATATAATAACAAAAATGATAAAAACAGACAAGATTAGCTTAAATGATCATCAAAACCCATTTAATTATTCTCAATCTTGTCATAATCCTCCTCTTTAGTTGATTTATATTCCTTTTATTCATCTTCATCATTATAAGTTTTTTCCTCTTCAACAATTATACAATGATTTAAAAAGTGCTATGCGCTAAGGTCCCAAAATGCCTGAGGCGTTAGGTGCTCGCCTAAGCAAAACAAGGCGCTCGCTCAAGCAAAACGAGATGCTCTAAAATATAAAAATATAAAAATATATAATATAATTAAAAAAATATAATTATTTAAATAAAAAATATGATATTAAATTAAAAACAAAGATTAGTAGTGTTAAAATCTAAATAGTATATTATTAATCTAATAAATAAAGATTATTTTGAATAGTAATTAATAATTAACTGTTACTAGTATATTTACTGTTAACAACAATAGGGAAGAGTAGTGACCAAAGAAGGCGATGAGAAGTTGTGGTGAGAAGCTGAGTTGTAGGTAGCAGACAGCAATAGAAGCTATAGAGTCGCGGATAGTAGGAGGCAGCAGACAACAACAGCGACAGCGGAGTCGTGGACAGCAGGAGGCAACAGACAATAACAGCGGCAATGTAGTCGCAAACAGCAGGAAGGCAGCGGACAACGGTAGCAGCAACGGAGCCGTGTTGCGGACAACAGCAGGCAGTGGATAGCGGCAGTGGACAATAGCGGAAGCTGAGGAGACTCAGTTGGCGATACAGGAAGACTTGAAGGTAGTGGGAGAAATCGTCGGCGGTGGAGGTAGAGGGAGAAATCGTCGGTGGCGAATGCAGAGGGAGAAATCATCAGTAGTGGAAACAGAGAGAGAAGCATGCATAGGGTTGGGAGTCGTGGTCGTGCGCTGATATAATTGCGTGCGTTAGTTGATTCAATCAAATCAACTAACGCAAATTTAAGCGGTTTAGTTACCTTATATCAACCGGGCGCTCGCCTGAAGTGCCCGACGCTTGGGCTTGGGTGAGCGCCCAAGCGGCACCTCATTGAAGCGCGCTGCTTGTTCCTTAAATGAGGTGCTCGGGCCTCGCCTCACCTGAGCGCTTAGGCGAGCGCTCGAGTGCCTTTTCAAATCACTGCAATTATAGGTAATGGACTTCAGGCTTTTGCCTTAATCTTTATACTCATAAGTTGTCTTGTGTATGTTTTCATTTCTCTAACACCTAAAGCTCCATATGAAGTTCTTGTTACATTTGCCCATATCAAATTATTATCATCAAAGATAAACTCATCTTCAGCATTTTCGAAGTAAGCACCCATTGCTCCCACCAACCATTCGTTTGAATCATTAGTCTCGTTTAACAAAATTAGATCGAAATTAGACCAATTGTTTCTCACAAATTATAACAAGCCTTTAGAGCTTGAATATATTTTGTAGATAAAATCTTGTAGTCATTGATGCTCTAATCATTTTGTTTCCTTTGTATAAATCTGTTATATTATATTGATTAAGGTCCATTTAGGTGCAAGTAGTATTAAAAAAAATAAATTACTTGAAACTAAAATATTCTTATATACTTACATTCTCGAAGAAACTCTAATATCTCTTACGACTCTTGGCACGACAAGTCAAACTCAAAATTTTGATAGCTAATTATTGTAAGTTCAGTGTAGAATTTCCAAATTGGTCTCACCACTCAATTGTAAATTTAAACTTAACTATTAACAATAACAATGCTTTAAAAATTCGCATGATGTTAATTATATGAAATTATAATACTTGGAGACTTAATAGCCCTTGATCGAATTGCCATAAGAATTTAAAAAATGACACTCATCATTCTTATATAAAGATAATTAATTTGTTATCTTGTATTGAACTTTAATGTTGACAACTAATCTTGCAATGTGCTGATATGATCCAAAATTGCTGATATAGATGATGAAGTTTAAATAGTGCCCTACTACATGTAATGAATGATAAAGCTGACATCCCCATCTTTTATCTGTGATTGTAAAGATTTTTGTTACACTTTTTTCATTTTCATCAAGTTTTGTGAATTGTTTTCTTGGCTCTATTAATAGCCTCATAATTATATCCCATTGGCAGCTTTTCTCATTATTTGTGAGCCGAAGATTTTGAACAAGGGCCCATTACTTTTAATGCATAGATCATATGATACCAAAATGATGGCATACTTTAAAATGATGCATAGATAATATCGCTTGCCCTCTTGACTTTCGTCTTTTTTGCCCATTCACTTTACCTATTTTTCCGAGTTAAAACATATTTATAAGGTTGTGTTTTTGTTAGTGTATACTTTACAATGTCATGAATGAAGTGGCAAATCACGTGATACTGCACCTCATCAATTCCCTATTGCTTGTACATTCTCTTATCATGATCAAAGTCTCACTATGATTATATATAAACCTAAAAATAAAGATTTTCTTTTCTAAAGTCTTCTTGATGTTTGCAATCTTAAGAATATCTTCTAATATTAGATTAATACAATGTGTCGCACATGGAATCTAATACAAGTGCAGCTTTGGAGCAATTTATCGAAAAAGGTACAACAACAACAAAGCCATAAGTCTCAACTATTTGGGGTTGGCTACATAGATATTTTGTCACCATTGAGATATGTAAAAAGTCATGTTTAGTTAAGTTCAGAATATTTAAATATTTATTTATATTTTTTATTAAGCATGTTTAGGTCTTCCTTTATTTCTCTTTGTATCATTAACATTAATTATTTCACCTAATTTGCTTAAAAAAGATAAATATAATTAATAAGTGTTTGAAAACATAAAAATAATATAATTAAAATATTTAAAGAAAAATCATACCAGCTAAAACATAGTTGCTTCGATTGTCTATTATCATCTTAACCACATTTTGTTCTTTAATTTTTTTTACAAACTTGTCAAGTAATTCAAATATTTTTTCTCTAAATTTCATAAAAGATGATCTATCAATTGACTTAACATTATTTTAAATGAACAATTGATCAAAAAATTAATTATACTTCTTTGTCTTCCATTGGTCCATGTATTTGACATAATAGAATAACCATATTTTGCTCACGCATCCCTATGATTCTTTGTCAAGCTATTTGTGTAATCTAACTCATTTATCAAATATAAAACTCTCTCCCATGGTAACTTGGAGGCTTCAGCTTGGGACTTTATCTTCCAATAACTTCAATTATGTGCGTAAAGTTGCTTAAATAGGCTGCATTAAAGGGAATACCTGCTCGATAAAAGAAGCTAGCAATGTATTGATCTATTTTAGCTCTTGCTTTCTCATCACAAGCATCATTTATACTTGTTTGTCTTAATCTTGCTCTTTTTTTACTTTGCATTGATTTATCTGGTTCTTGAAACATATACAAATCCGTTGGTCCTTTCTTTTATGGAAATTTCGACTTCTTAGTAATAACTTCCTTTCCTCTTATATTTGATGCTCTCTTACCATTAGCATTTACCTCTTCCATACTATCATCTTCTTCTTGAATTTCATCTCTAAGTTTCTATACATCATCATCTTCTGGTAAGTATCTACCTAATTCAATCTTTTGGTTCTTTTTCTCATTCATGTATGCCTCCATCGTTAGTTTGACCTTTATAGGACACGCTTTGCATGCATATGCATTTTTGAAAATTTCAACTTGATGTTGTTTTGCATGAAATATGCCACCTGTTGTTGCCTTATCCCAAAGCATACCTTAGGATCCTTTGGGTCCTTTAAATAATTGTAACCTTCATCCAAGAATTTTTTTGAGTTTCTTATTAATGATTCATTTGAAGTATTTCCTACTGGAGCCATGATTCAAGATCCTAAAGTGTGACAATCCAAAACACTTGGAAGTAGCAATGACAAATTCAATCCTTTATATAACATTCACAAGCTCTGTTAATAAAAAAATAACATAGGAGGAGGAGGAGGATGATGGAGAGGAGTTTGTTAGGGTATGGGGAGGGGGTGGGTGGTTGTGGGTTGTGTTGGTTGGGAGGGGAGAGGGAGGAGGAACGAGAGAGGGGGGGCTGTTAGGGTCCGGGGGCAGGGAATAGGGCAAAGAGCTATCAAGGACAAGGAGGCTATTGGGGAAGACACTGGCTTGTGGTTGCAACGAGAAGGAGAGGGTTGCAGAGAAGGGGGAAGACGTGTGTGGCAAGGGGAAGAAAAGAGGTCGGGGAAGACGTCTACCTTTGCTGAAAGAGAAGAAGATGCCATAGTTGTTCACTAATGCAGAGGAAGACGATGCGGTCGTCGTTCGCCGATGCAGAGGAAGACACTACAATTAGGTTTCCATGGGTTTCTTGTGCGCATGCGAGGGGGGTGTGAAGTCATTGATCTGGTTTAATCGAATCAGAATCAGTGAACTTAAATGGATTAATCTCGACCTAGGTTTGATTTAAATCAGGCAGGAGCTTGGCCTGCTCAGTGCTTGGGCCACGCCTAATTGAAGGTGCCTGCCTGGATCAGTTTCCAAGCAGTTGGGCCTCACCACGCCTTGTTTGGGTGCCTAGTTGAGAGCTCGAGGGCTCGAGAGCCTGATGACTTCAATGGATCGTACAATTTTCAATCTAAGCCTTTGTTTATAGATAATAACATTTCAACTACCACTAACATTGGATTAGACTATTTTATCATACCTCAGCTTAAACATATCTAAAGTTTCCTAAAGCTCATCTTAACATTTGTTTCTGTGAACAAACAATGTAGCCTAGAAGAAAGATGTCTGGCCACAAGGCCTAAAACGACATGGTTTCTTTTATCCAACAACCCTCATGTCGGTGTCATGATCACACAAGTTTAAGCCATCCGAAGGTATTGTTTTAATTTAACAACTCAAATACTAGTAAGATTTGATAAGTGAAGACTTCTTTTTTTGTTCTCCCATCCAATTCATCTAAAATTTCCTAAAGACAAAGTTCCTAAATTATCATTTTTTTTCAAGTGAACAAATAATAAGACCCAAAATAATGTTAACACAAAGTCCCTAAAATGAAAAAAGCCTTAGTCCAGGCTTAACGAAACTGAATATTTGACTCCTGAATTTTGATGCATAATTTTGCTCTGGCCTTTCATATTTTGGAGAACTTCCAGTTATCAAGGAGATGAAAAGCTATGTGGAGTAAAGAAGAAAAGGTCACTGACTACTACTAAGATAAGAACCTACCAGAACTTTTCCGAATGTGGGTGATAAAATCACCGGTTTTGTGGGTCGGGGTTGAGAATGGGGCAGCCTTCGAAAAGCTGATTAGAATACATATTTCAAATCTCATAATCAAGTCCCATTGATCATATTCAATTTAAGGGGTATCTTGAAGTAGTTATGGTAATTGCATTTTTGTGAGCTAAACCTGCTATGACCTTGAAACCTTGGGTTTGTATCCATTTTGTGTAACGAAAGGATCAACGAAATAAAGTGACATTATCAATAAATAAAAGTTGACACAATATTTATTCCCCACCAATGTTATATTATCTCTGGTGTCAAGAACTCGTACAATAGATTATCATGGGGGAAAAAGAAGAAAGAGAAGTTTTGCTTGGTTTACTCTCTTCTTGTGTGATTTATTGATCTTAAGTGATATCAGAGCTCTTGTGGTTCATTTAATCTTATAGCTAAATCGATCAAGGTAATATTATGTTGATAATTGCAATTTCGTCTTTTGGTGACCATTTATTTTGTCAGCCCCATATAATCATAGGCATGGTAGCAATCTGGCGAATATAGACGTGTATGTTATTGTATTTCTGTTTCATTACAATTTTCAAGTTGGTTCCTTCTTCCTGGTTGAAATGAAAATTTCCTTGTGCTTTGAGTGTTTTTTTTTTGTTCCACTTGTGACTAAGCAAAGTCAAGTTAGAATGCTGGACATATGTAGCATGCTGTTTTCAAGCTTTTGTGATACACAAAGCCATGGCAGGTGGAGCAGTCATCAGAACCTTCTGCGAAAAAGCCGAAACAATAGTGTGGACTCTCAAATTTGTTGATCTTTTACTGGAGTTTTTGATGGGCAGCACTTGGACTATCCATATGCACCAGATGCCAGCATCAGTTGGCATTTCTGCAACTTATATCACACAATTGGCGTGAACACAGTTAAGTCAGCTACTGAAGATATTGGTCACAATGGTGTTTGACTTGGTAGTTTGAACCTAATTATATGAAACCAGTATATGATTTTTTTTTTTTTTGAATCTCACCCTTGCCATTTTGAAAGGGCAATTCTTGTGGCATAATCCAGTTAGGGACTGACTTAGATAGGCTGTTCTAATGTGGTTACCTTCTCAACTTGGCATTCCATCGAGCAGGAGTCGTCAACGACTGGGATGCATAGTTAATCATGCACAGGAGCTGAACTGAGCCTACCACAATGGGCACCGAGCTGCTGCTTCTTTTGGCTGTCATTCTATTTTTTTCCTCACTCTGGGTGTCTGAGACGTACATCGTTAACCTCCTTAGATCCTACATCTGCATCGTGGGTTTAGATGGCTTGCATTCTAATTGTGAATTCCATTCGTTGATTGCATTGCTACCCTCTTAATTCACGAGTCTCTTGTAGTTGGAAAGCTGTCTTTTCTATTCTTTTAATTTTTGGTGTCACTTGGGTGCATTAGATCCAGGGTTTTGAATACCGGTCGATGTACAGAGCAGATATGTATCGGTATATATTGTCGGTACATTAGGGCATATTGATGGTACATCTTAAAATTATCTTCATATATCATGTCAGGGTGTACCAATCGGTATGTCTCGATAACAATAGAAATTTGAGATGGTATCGATCGGTATGCCTTGGCACCAGTCAAAATATTGGCACTGTCCAATAGAGGATAGAGGATGGTCTTCTCATAGTGAGTGATGTGATGAAATTGAGAACCTTGATTCGAAATCTAATCAAGGAATATTGAGGGCACGAGACTTCAAGTGAGAGTTAAATTCCTTCTACCTATGGGATTGGGATGCCGATACACCACGAATTGGGTGTGTGCGCTAAATTTGTCCTTATCAGAAGTGTCCAAAGAGATTTCTCCCTGCGGTGTAAGGTTGGGGTGGGATATAATGACAGGCCAAAGCTAAAACAAGCGAGAAGATGGCATCAGACTCTCACACAGCTTTGCCATACCTCAATATCACAGCTTAGCTCATTTGGGAAAACTGTAATTTTATTCATTTTTGAATAAAAAGGAGTAAAACGATTTATTAATCCAGCGCCATTACAAGGGAGAAACTTTTTAGGGATACAAGACCAGACTGCCAAGTACAAAACAATGTGCCAAGTGATTCACAAGAATCAAACAATTCATAACTATGCACTTAAAAATGGTCAAAAAAGTTTGAAAAAATTAGGGGGTTTTATTCTAATTAATTGATATTTTGATTCTACTTCAAAAAAAAAAAAAAGAGTGCAAAAGAATAATTGTTGGTTTTGAGGATGAGTGTGAATTTATCTTTTTTAATCACTGAGGAGTAATTTTGTTCCACGGTCCTTTGTTGTTTAGTTGATTTTGATGCATCTACAAAGATGTATTGAGGTTCTTGAACGAACGTTGAGACTAGTATAATCTAGTATGTATTTGTTTCTACTATCAAAATGAACGAACGTTGAGACTCTATAATCGATGGATTGAGGTTCTTGATTCTATATATTTGGATCCTCATTGTAGTGTACTACTAATAATCTGTCATTGATGTATTAGTGTCGTAACAATTCTTGTGTGATCCTCATTAGCAACACGTGTCTAAGGAGCCTCTTGAGGTAATTACAATTGGGACGACATCTAGAGGTTAGAGTATACCAACACTTTTGCTTACACCATTAACTCACTGTTCTGTATCTAAGAAAGGAAGGAAGAATGAGTTTGTTTAGCTGCTCACGAGCCTCGTTTGCTTAAAATATAACAGAAAATAATTATATACAATCGACTTTATATTCATTTCAGAGGCCCCAAAAAAAATGATTATCTCAGATAATTCTTTCTTTTTTAAATTTTGTGTAGTTCCTATATATATATGTATTCAAACTCACAAACCTCGTCCAGCTCAAACAAACTCAAAACTCCACAAGTTCGCCTCAAACCACAAAATAGTTTCAGGAGTCGGAAATCAATCAGCTTAGGCTAGTTTTTCCTTTTAGCCTCATGGCATCGATCGATAGCAAACGTGGCCAACCGCTAGTTCTTGAGAGCCTTCTATTTGATTCTGTAAGCATCCTCTTTTCATGTGGCCAAAAAAGTGAAGAACTTGTTTTTCTCGTCTCACCAGTGTCTTCTGCCACAGATCCGCCTTGCTAGCTGTAAATCCTTTTGCTCTGTCGAAACATAGATATCAGTATATGAAGAGCGAGCGAGATGGAAAATAAGCGAAGGACAGCAAACACTGTGGAAGTTCATTTTGTTGCAAGAATGTTCAATGGGAATAAATAATTCAAATATTATTGATAAAATTTCGATCGGAGCATAATTGTGTCAATTGCATAATCAGCCTTCTCTAATGCTTGGTCTCAATATATAGCTAATGAAACTCCTAGTGACGTAACATGTTCAGCTCATTGGCATTTATATTAGCAACAAGTAAATTCAGACTGATAAAGCAGCATGACCCTTCAAGTTTGACATTTAAAATCGCAACATCCTTCCCCTCCCTCCAGATATAAATGACTTTAATTTAAGTTGCCTCCTAATCATTCTCCAATACACATTGACATAGCTTACTTCGATATTGTTGCTTTATCTAATCACCACAAAGAAAATGAAGCTAATTTGGAAAAGACATATACTTAAGAATCATGCAGCATATATTTCTGTACTATACTTCAAAAGCCAAACAGTTCAAAAGGAAATTTTGATTTCACAAATTGGAAATGGGATAATGGATGATTGAATGTCATCTTCTGCTTAGCTTGTTTCCTGAGTATCAGGACTTGTGAGTCGTTGCTTTCTGATTCCATCACTTTCCTACATGACCGAGAAGATAAATCTTAGTAGATGCCAACTGGTCTTTTTCTCCTTCTTGTCGTTGAATTTTTCTCTTTGCAACCCTACGTCTTTAATCAACTTCTGACATACGTTTTAGCCCATCTACTCTCTATCTTGACAAATTGACATAATTACCCTTGCCACTAATCATTATCCTTTTCATATATAAGTGCAGTTTGCATTTTTTTTTGTGTATGAAACAGTTTAGATCAAAGTCATAAACCTCTATAAAACTTTCCCCTTGGGTCGTTGAATTTTTGCTGTCATGAACTTATGCAACTTATGGAAGACTATGACTCCTAGCTATCCAGTAAAGTATAATGACTTTCTTTGTGCAAGGAAATCCCATTTCAGGCATTCTCTCAAAATGATAAAGTTAAAAACCAACTTCAAACTAATTTCTTTACTAAATCTTTGCACTGCTAAAGTTCCAGAATTGTTCCTAAAGCTAAATTTTGCACAAAACCTACCTAGATATCCATTAAAGACCGTCCAAGCAAAGAGAATTATCGGACTTTTAAACCAGTAATAAATATCTGGCTACTTACACTTAAGGTGGGATAAACATTTGACATATTGATGTTTCAGACAATCAATACTTATCTGACCTAAAATATTCCTGATCATGCATCTAGGAACAATTAAATGTGACCACAATTACCTGTAATACAATTGAATTGATAACTATAAGTGAAAATATTTATTGATTCCTTATATGATCTACTACTTTGAGAAATTAAAGACCCTCAGGTTATTCGGAAAAATTCACCGGAAAATTGTAAGCACACATACGACAAAATTTCATGAAGCTCGCAACAAAATACATGAAAAATAATCGCAAATTAGGAATCAATGACTCACTTGAATATTAACTCCAATTCTGTAATATACATAATTTTGTCTGTACCTTATGTAAACATATTTATCATCAGGGATACTCTTGGGTGTCTATGTACAGGATCAGGCACACTCAAATGGGTGTGGGGGTGGATCCGGTTATTTTACATTCAAGCAGAGCCTACACAAACAAACATACATGTTTGAGCCTATTGTATGCATGCCCATGCAAATATATACCCATGTCTACTGAATCAAACAACTGTTAATTTGAATTGCCATAAGTTGAAAAAACACTTTCCTGAACTTATCTATTTTAGCTGTTTTGAAGATGTTCTTCTCTATTGTGATAGTCTAAAATCACAGTAGAAAACAAGTGAAAGTTGACATTAGACTCTTTCATGTAGAATGTGTCAATTATCTTGAGCTTAAATAACAGCATGTTATATCAGAAAAAAGATAAGAGCAAGCACATTGCCTAAAAGTAGTATTAACCAGAAATATAACATTGTTAGAAGTTATTGCAGTAAAGGACCTTAGTTTGTAGGACAGTAACTTACGGAGTGTAACACGTTTAGCATGAATAGTACACAGATAAGCATCCTCAAACAACCCTTGTATATAAGTTTCTGTTGCCTGAAGCAATTGGACAAATCTAAGAGAAGTATAATTACAATAATAAGTTAATAATGGAAATGAATTTTCAGAAGTCAAGCAGTTCCAATACCACAAAAGCAACTGCTAATAAGATCCTTGATTTTCTTATTTTTCATACACAGAGCATAGTTAAAATTCATGTTTGAAAAGAAATAGCCACTTTTAGGAGATAATAGAACCCACCTGCAAGCAAACTAACTGTTCGAAATCATAAAGATCAACACTTAAACTGAATCATGTTAGCCATAATTCATAGAAACAATTCAAGGAATTTATCAAAGCCACCTGTCTGATCTTCTGCACAATTTCCAACTAACTGTCAACGGGAGGTCAATAACATAATGACTATAAAGAAATGCCCTTAAAAGCCCAAGAAAGTTACTGGTCCTCTTGGCAAAAAATTATACTGCTTCGATGAGTTACTCAAGAAGATTGTGTATGAGAATCCCCTTATATTATGCATGTCCATCTACCAAATCTCTCAAACGATAGTGACCTTATAAAACCAATGTTAAGAAATGATTCTTCCAGCAAAACATCCTTCAAAATTCAAAATTCTCCACTTATATTGATGGCATTAGAGTTCAGCTAGAAGAATCCTACTTTCCATAAACATCATCCATTAAGCAGATTCACTTTTACAAAATCCTGCCTATACATAAGTCTTAGTGAGCCCACAAATTTTTTATTTGCTTATAGCTCCAAGCCTCTGGCAATAACATGTGACTCATTTTCAGATACTTGCCTCAGTAACAATCATGACATAGAAGTTCAATGTAAATGATTTTAGGATGTATCCCTTCCCTGTAACCTTCAATAGAAATTTATATATCAGGGGATTGCTATCAGTATGATCAGTTTGTCTGAAGAGAAAGCTCCATAGAAGCTAGAGAGAGAAGCACCACATATTAGGTCAAAGTAATGATGATCAAATGTTAAAGGTCACATCATGAAACTTTTACATGGTCAGAATGATACACTAAAACACACTGGACAAATAGAAAACCTAGATACATTGACATTATTTAATAGTTAATACCAAGGATTTTAATTTCGAACGGGCAGTACATACCGGTCCGTAAGCATACCAGTACACGAACCGTCCGCTACCGAGCGATAGCATCGATTGCGACTGTTTCCGTTCCTAAATCAGTCGGTGATGGAGAAAAAAGAAGAGGGAGAAGAAAGAAGAAAACTTGGAGATTCGACACAACGACGAAGCCTCGGCGACGTCGCGGGGAGAAGCGATTTCTTGTCCCCAACAGAAGAAACCAAGCGAGGAGATGCCTTTCTTTTTCTTTTTTTTTGCGCGGGGAAACCAAGCGACGTCACCGAGGCGACGTTGCCTTTCCCCCTTTTTTTTTGCACGGGGAAACCGAGCGACGTTGCCTTTCGCTTTTCTTCTTTTATTATGTTGGGAAACCGAGAAGATGTCGTCTTTCCTCCTTTATTTTCTTGCACGGGGAAACCAAGCAACGTCGTCTTTCCCTTTCTTTTTTTTTCGTGGGGAGGAGTACTAGCGTGGGTAGAGCCATCGTTTATATATATATATATCGAGCGGTATACCGAAATGTATTGTCTGGTATACTTATACCGTACCATACCGAACTGAGCTCGAAACTCCGGTATGATACAAAATTACAAACCTTGGTTAATACCATTGACAACCTAGGAAAATTACATACTCTTAGCAGCTGGACTGCCCAATAAACATCCTAAGAGCAATAGAACTAACTTGAAGTGGTTAATAAATAGCACAAACTAAAACAATTCTAGAAGCTTGGTTAGTTCTTCCTAGCAATTGATTTCGATAACCGAAATCATTTAGTGCCTTAAAATTTCTCATCAATGTTTTGAGGAAAGAATTCAAAGTCATCCTCAGAAGTAAAGCTTTTGTAATGTTTTCAATCAAGATGACTAATAGAAGAACAACTAGTGGAACTAAATTTTAAATAGCAACTTGGAAAGAGAGTCATCTTAATACTCAATCCAGCACAACACATGAGCCTGTGCCCTTAAAGCATCAAGAAGTTTATTAATGTTGCAGTATCCTTGAGCCAGTTTTGCTCAAAAAGATTAAAATTATGAGAGATGTGCAAGAAAGTATGGTTACATTCTGATGTTTCAATTATTGGATTTAATGTGTATGCAAGATGGTGGAGAAAGTTATACAACCAGCTGAAAAGAAACATTGTACATAATAGCAAGCTATGCGTTTCTTTTAATGTAACATTCCTCTAAGACCTGATCTCTACATCTAGCTGTGAGCTCATGTTCATGAAAGATATGATTGTGACTGATGATGATACTCCATGGAATAGGAAAACAAGTTTAAAAAGCATCAATTCATCATAGAATATTCGTATCCTAATTTAAAGAATCATCTATTAGCACTAATGGTAGGATCAAATTTTCTGGTCTTTTCCAGTAGCAGCAACATATTTTCTGATATCCTATTTTACATTAATGGCAGAACATACAGAAATGTATACCATGTCCAGGGAAAACAAGAATGAAAACAGCTTGATACAGCCCCAACTAAGGATTTTAGTAGAGATTAATATAGGCACAAATTTCAAAGTTTAGGGAATAAGCATTTTTCAAAATATATGTCATAACTACCATTGAGAGTCTTGGAACTAAGTTTGTCAGAACACTCTATGCGCTATAAGGTGTCAAGATCCTTATTTGTCATAGGTGCTAGGCACTTGGCTAAGCAAACCAAAGCATTGACGTTGCAAGTTATAAAATATAACTAAAAACAAAGATAATAATTAAAACAAATACTTCAATCCAACGTGAGTTTTATATCATTATACATGCAAAATGATAATCACTAAAACATCAAATTATATGTATTTAACTCACTTCTTTGATATGCATGATTGCTAAAAATATAATTCTGGGTTTAAAAAGTAAATAGATGGTGAAGTTGACATTCACAACTTATATCAATAAATTCAAATATCTCATTATACTTCTCATCATTCCCACCCAAAAGACCTTTTTATGGTTTCCTTGTCTCCATCAGTAGCTTCATGTTTTATTGTCTTCATATTCCCATTGATAGCTTCATACTTATATATTTTAAAAAATGTTTTAACTTTATGATGAAAATATCTAAAAATTATAACAAAAATATAGTCATGAAATGTCTCTTCATTATACAATGAATCAAGGAAATTTGATGAACAAATCCAAACTCACATGAGTAGGATGACTGATAATAGGTCAGTAGCATGAAACACAAGATAACAAGAGAAGAAAAAAAATGATGTGAAAGAGAATAGTTCTGAGGAGTGGTGAAAACAAAAATGAGAAAGGAAGATGATGAGAGAGGCAAATAAAGGGCGTCGGAAAGAGCAAAAGACAGGATGATGATAACAAATGAGAGGACAGTAATGAAAGAACAAAGAGGGCATTCAAGAGGGTGGTTAAAAGGGAGGTCAAGAAACACAAGCTCTGAGAAAGTATCAGATACTTTTTTAAAAAAAGACTAAATTCCCCTAAAACCTAAATAAGAGTAATTATATTCAGATGGTCAATAGGAATAAAAAAGGTCCAATTAATAAACCCAACCAACCAAGAGACTTGTTGCCAATTTTAACTATCAAACATGCCAATCCAGTCTGAGTTTAATAATTATGGATATGATTATGCAAAAAGGAAGGGCTAGTGGCAACGACAATTGAACCCCACAGAGAGGGGAGGACAAAGGAAGGAACGAGGAAAGTGAAAAGAAAAGGAAGTTGGATCATAATGGACAAAGGGAGAAGAAATAATGGTGGCAGACTGATAATAATGGAAATCAGGATTAGGTGGAAAAGACACTAGGGCACACAGAATTTCATTGAGCATGGAGAATTGGTTCGTGCAAAATATGGTCTAGGGGATTGGTATCTAGTTCATCGAGCAAGGTCTAGATAGGATCCAAGTTCGAGTCACTAGGGTTTTAGATCGGCCTTTGGTTCAAGGAGAAGGATGTCGGACTGGGGGAGGAGAGGTGGAAGGGGAGGTATCAGGCTGAGAAATGGATAGGGCATGGAGGGCCTAATAGTCAGAGTAAAGGTTGCTAGAGCTAGTCATGCCTAGGACACCTAGTGCTCAATTGAGGTGCTATGAGGCATCTAATTGAAGGCACCTTGCATGGGGCCCATTGAGGTGCTCGGACCTCACCATGCTCTAGTGCCTAAGTGAGCACTCGAGAACATCTTGACATCACTGGTTGACTTTTTAGAAATGTTAGTTGAATGTCTGACCTTTTGGAATTGTGATTCGAGTTACCGTAGTTAATGAAACTTATGATGACATGAGCATATAAATAGGGGCTGGGCTTGCTAATGAAATTCAGAAAAGAAAGAAAATGAAATGTATATCGTATAATTGTCCTCTTAAACTCTCTCCTTTCTTTATTCTCATCTTCTACCCTCTCATCTATCTTCTCTCATCTTCTACTCTCCTCTCCCACTCTCTCTTCTCTTTCTACCCCGAGGAGGACCCAACCACCCACAAGAGACCACAATAGGGGTCAGCTAGCACTTACGGATAGCAGCCTCAGCAATTGGTTATGTTATTTTTTTATACTTCCATTTATCCCAGTCAAAATGATGGATATAGCACTCCTTGGGCACATGTTTTGACTATTAATCAGCAATAATCTCTTTAGTTCATCTTTGCTTGCTCTCTCTATATCTCTCTCTCCTATTTGGCTTCTCTCTAATGTATGTTTCTTCATCCTTTAGCTGTCTCTTGTTTGTTGCTTAAACAACACATTCTTTTCTCAAGAAACAAAAAACTCTATAGAAGATGATAATCCTATAGAAGCAGACGACATATTATATGCCAAAACTAATTGATTGAAAATGTTCAAAGCCTACTCAAGAGTTATCATAAAATCATATAAGCAATGAGAAACTAGAAAAACAAAACGTGTAATACAAGTTGATCAGTACCTCCTGAATTGCGATCAGAGCTTCAGGGGTCCAACGAGATACATCTTTTGAATAGAAATTAGTAATCTCCCTTACCTACAACCAAACAAAATGCTTGAAATAATATACCCGAGAACCACAAGATACGTTATCCCAGATCAGTGACAGAATAGGAAAGCACAAAGTAACGTGTCTAAAAGTGAAATATCAATATAATCAATCCTGAATGACAGGGGAAAAAAAAAACTTTAAAACCACAAGCGTTGCCAGTATTCCTAACAAATTTGTTTGCCACATGGAATAACATTGATTCGACCGAACCATAATAAGCAAGAGGAGCTCCAGGCTGGTACTAACAAGTCTGACAAAGGGAGCCATAGGAATAAGCAGCTTCCATGACTTCTGAAGCCTCCGGATCTCACGGAGTGCCATAACCCCTGGTCTGTGCCTGTAACGCCGCCGTGATTGGCTTGGAGTCCCTGCTTTGTAAGGGTCTTTACTATAATCGAAGTATCAACCCTAACAGCAAAAGCAGCGAAAGCAAGCAGATAATAAGCAAATAGGAAACCGGAAGCAATCGCTTACCTTGAGGCGCGTCTGATTCGCTCGTCCTCTTCCCCTACTCGCATATATTCCCAAAATCTACAGCCAATATATCCCCATAAAATAGAACAAAGCCAATGAAGAACACTGAAAAAAGAAAAAGAACCATAGTCTCACACGAGCGGAGCGAGAAGATGTCGCCGGTGAACTCCCTCCCGCTGCGCAAAAAAATCGGAGGATTAGGGTTTTACTGATCCATAGCGGACGAGCACGCGCGCGGGAGAGAGCGAGAGGCGGAAAGGAAAGAGATAGAGAATAGAGAGATACCCATCGGCTGCTGATGCTGCTTCGTGCGTTTGCGGGACCTGCTCGGGAGTTGCTTCGTTCTCCCCATTACTGCCACTGTGAGAGAGAGAGAGGGGGGGGGAACTCCTCGGAGGAAGAGAGCGACCGTCGCGGGGGGTTTTGGCTCCAGGCTTTTGGGGCATAAAAATACACACACGTCTTTGTGGAGACTAGACCACGGGCGTTAGCGGCATGTTGTTGATCCGGGAGATATGTGAGAGATAGAACCTGACCCTACTACAGTGAGGCACCGAGATATGTTGTTGGTACACGTAATAATTCCTTGACCGTCAATCGCATCTTAAGAATGGACACCAATCTTTCAAGTTCATGCTAGCGTGTATATTAAAAAGATTTTAACGAATATATTTTTAATATATTTTTTATAAGACTTAGAATCTTTCGAATTCATACTAGCTTAGATATCAAAGAGATTTTATTGGATATATTCTTAATATAAGTTTTTACTGGACCCTTTCGAGTTTGATAGAATCGTTCGAATTCATACGTATCAAAAATATTTTATCAGATATATTTTTAATATAATTTTTTTATAGAACTCTTTCGAGGTTGATAAAATCTTTAGAGTTCATACTAGCTTAGGTATCGAAAAGATTTTATCGGATGTATTTTTAATATAATTTTTTTATAGGACCCTAAACTGAATCTTTCGAGTTCATACTAGCTTAGGTATCAAAAAGATTTTATCGAATATATTCTTAATGTAATTTTTTTTACTTTCGAGGTTGATAGAATCTTTAGAGTTAATACTAGCTTAGGTATCGAAAAGATTTTATCGGATATGTTTTTAATGTAATTTTTTTATAAGACTCTAAACTCAATCTTTTGAGTTCATAATAGCTTAGGCATCAAAAACATTTTATCGAATATGTTCTTAATGTAATATTTTTACAAGACTCTTTCGAGTTTGATAAAATCTTTAGAGTTTATATTAACTTAGGTATCGAAAAGATTTTATCGGATACATTCTTAGTGTCATTTTTTTTACAGGAATCTAAACTGAATCTCCTAATTTTTTTGACACCTTAACCTAAGATAGTATCATGATTGGCTCCGTAACCCTATATTTATCGAGCAACTGAATATATCATAATAATTATATCGTTAATGGATCTCATACGTACTCCTAACGTGGATTGCTGACATAACTATGTTCCTTTGAAAAGAAATAACTGTTATTCATGTGAGTTTGAATGTTTTCTCAAGCTTATGCAAATTAGGTTGGTAATTATCGGATTCAATCTAATCGTTGGATTATGAACCAAACCTAGTATTTGTAATATAATTGTTTTCATCCTTATTCTACATAAGACTATTCCTTTGACTCATCTTATCTCAATCTCATACACAAATATCTCAAAAACAAAAATGTTCTTTTATCAAACAACACACGAGCTCTTTCATAGCATCTAATTTTTTTCTCATTGAGTTATGTTTTATATTTCTAAAGGAGAAGACCCAAATTTGTTAAATGATTCATAATTGTTGTTAATCTTGGTAAAAAATGTTCTTGAAAACTTCTTACATGGAATTTCACCTTTAATCAAATTGACATGTTAAACTAATTTTATATTTTTCACTAAATCAAAACATGGGCTATATACATCTACATACACAAATTTTGATAGTGTCATCTTTATTGATTTTGACTAGGAAAACATGTAGAGAAAATCCTAAGGTGAGGTAGATTTTTTTTTTGGCAAATGGTATGGGGTGAAGGTATGTTTTTAATTTTATGACATCATAATGATCCAACAAGATTTGTACCAATTAAGATAATAAGCATTTTTTTTAAAATATATAGTATTATATTTTGAACCTTCAATTGAAATCATCTTTTAGTTTTTCTTATGTAGATTAAATTTTAGATCAAATTATCTAATGAAACCTGACATGTAAAATAATAAAAAGATATCAAGTAACTTAGTTGATAAAAAACATTAGTGGTAAAAAATAATAAAAAAATGAGTAGTTTGTTTCTTTTTAAAGATATCAAGTGACTTAGTTGATAAGGATTTTATATACCCTTTTATGATCAAAATTCAACAAAATGACTAAATAATATGAAAAAATTAAAGATGAAATCTTTCCTTATAGAGGATATTGAAGAATGAACATGTAAATAGACAATTCAATAACACTCTAACAGAATTTTTTTATGATCTAAAATAAATTATATATAATGCAATCAGTCCCCAAATGATTGAGCAATCAAGGTCAAAAATCTTTGATAGAAGATTAGCTAATCAGTTAGTCCTTTACATAGTTCAGTAGTAAGTACACAAAGGATAAGGATTTCAAGTTCCTAATCGTTTCCAATGTAAAGAGATGACAGTGCAAAAACTTCCGGCTATTCAATTTAACATAAGACATAGTTGCACAAAACAATATTATTTTTCCCTATGATGAGAGGGTGTGCTCTCCTTGGATTGCAGGAAGTGGAAAGCTGACTTATCAATAACCTAACCTTGATATGGAACGGCCACAACCATTTATCATCACTAGGTAAGAGACATGTCAAATCAATTCACATCACGAGAGCTTAAAACCAAAACATTTATGAATTACGTTGAAAGTATTTGAATCTTATATTTTGATGATGAAATCAATTAATGAATTTATGGACTAATAAACGTTTGAGATAAATGACACAGAAAAAACTTCGATCATGAACTTTAATCATTGAAAGATAAATTATTGAAGTAGGAGAATCAAACGTTGGGCTAGAGAGCATCATGTCAGAGATTGGACGTCGGGCTAGAGGATTGATTGACGTGCTAGAGAATGAACTTCTTGCCATGAGTTCGGGTATCGGCTCGGAAGGATCGGGTATTGCGCCAAGAAGATCAAACATTGTGGGAGGTCAACATATCGATGGATCGGGCAATGCGCCAAAAGAAAAGATGATGCACCAAAGGTTCGAACGAAGTGTTGGACGAACAAATGACATATTAGACAATATGCTAAAGGCTTCATGATTGTAATTAGAGTTGTTAAGTCTTGATCAAAGTCGTTTAGAGTGTAATTGAGTTGATTTTGGGGTATAACCATGCCAACTTGATTAAGAGCCCTTTGGACCTGAACTAAGGTTGAATTAGGCCTATTGGAAGGCCAATTCAGTGACTTGGGGTTAGGTTGAGCAGTGGCACCACTAGGCTTAAGCGATGGTACCGCTTGAGAGCCGGAAAGCACTATTTTTTCGAGACCCCAATAATAGTACCGCCTAGTGGCACATCTAGGCTCAAGCGATGGTATCGCTTGAGAGCCAGAAATCACTATTTGTGTTTTTTCAAGAACCTCAATGATAGTACCGCCTAGTGTCGGTGGTGGTACCATCGAGCGATGGTAATACCGCCTAGGTTGGCGATGGTATCACTAGAGCCTAGATTCCCAAGCTTTGTTCGATGGTAGTACTACCCGGTGTCGATGATAGTACCATCAGTAACTCAAAAATTTATGGATTTAAATTTTTTACTCTATTTTTTAAGTCATTTAAAATCTATAAATAACCCACTCATGTTTGCTTGATGGAACAAAAATTTTTGAGCATAAAAATATTGTAAACTCTCTTGAAAAAGTGTTAAGCTTCTTCTTCCTTAAGTATATTAAGTATAGATGTTATAATAAGGAGGTGTGAGGTCTTGTGTAAAAGAGAGGTAGGTGTAAATGCCTAATGTCCCTAATTTCTAAAATTTTTATATTTACAAATAGGTCCTTAGATTTTATAAATAGATTCTATGCACGTCCAATCTAATCTTATTCAATAAATTAAAACATGATAACGATGAGATTCATATTTAGTTTACTTGAGGAATGAAGTAGAAATAGGATTATTCCTCTGGTTGAAAGTGATTTGAAAGTATTATTCTATTAATAAAACTATTTGAGAGCTAGAGAAGAAAATAAAAAAAAATTTATTATCATCTTTTCATCGATTGAGGTATGATCAATTTAGAGGACTAAATTTTATCTTTGAGGGGGAGAGTGTAATGTCTTTTATTTTTGAAATTTATGTAAAGACCTATTTGTAAAATATGAGGATCTATTTATAAATATAGAAATTTTAATGATTAAATTATTTAAATTAAAAAATGGTAATTTTTATTTCACCGCCTCCCATGCACCTCTATTTCCCGCATGAGGAAATAGACGAGGTGTGGTGCATCGAGGAGGAGAAGAGAAGAAGAAGAAGAGGAGGAGAAGAGAGCGAAGAAGAAGAAGAGAGAAAGGAGGCTTCGACTAGGAGAGGAAGAAGAGAAGGGAAAGAAAAGAGGTTGCGGTTGCGAAAGAAGAAGAGGAAGGAAAAAGAGAATGAGAGGAATAAAGGAAGAAGTGGAAGGGGCTTGAGGCTAGGGCTGTGGTTGGGAGAGAAGAAGAAGAGGAAGCAGAGAAGGGGAGGAAGAAGAGGTTGCGGCTGGGAAAGAAGAAGAGGAAGGAAAAAGAGAAGGAGAGGAAGGAAGGAAGAAGTGGAAGCGGCCTGCAGCTAGGTCTATGGTTGGGAGAGAAAGAAAGAGAGGAAGAAGAGGCTGCGATTGGGAGTAGAAGAAGGGGAAGGAAGAAGAGGAAGAGGGCTATGATTGCAGCTGTGGGACAGAGAAGGAGAAGAAGAAGAGGAGGGGGAGAGGGGAGAGGGGAGACTGCACCCCTCTACATTCTGCGCAAGCTACAATCGTGGAGGAAGAAAAAGGATAGGAGAAGAAAAGCAAAAAAATAGGGAGAAGAGGAGGAGGAAGAGTATAAGAAGGATTTGAGCTTAAAATTTATTTGGATTATAATCTTTGAAAGACATGTGTTCTAATCCATTTGTACTGCAATTCTAATATCCACTTTTTCCTTGATTATGAGAAATTTGAATAATTCTAGTTTTACAATCTGATATCTCTCTTGTTTGGATGTAAAGATTTGAATCCAAAATTTTTTTGAGGTTCTAATATTTTTACCTTATTTTAGTTATAACTCTCCGCATCAATTTTCAATTTAGACAAAACCTATTTGATCTGAATCTAGACTCATAAATCTTTTTTTTTATAAAAAATTTTCTTAACCAAACATCTAATTGAATTGACTCTATAAATTTAGTAAGATAGAGATCGAAATTTCTAGTCTTTGTTACTAAATTGCTTGTAACTCTCTGTTGGAAACTCTAATTTATGTAAAACATGTTT